CTCTGGATGGGGAGAGACCCATCATTGCATCTGGATGGCTGCTTGCAAGCTTTTAAGATCCCAGTTGCTACTTGCCAAAGTAGGATGTGGAACAATGTTTTTGTGTAATATGTTGTGCCAATTGAGCTTGACATCCCCTGCGACCATGGTCCTGAGTCCACAGGTCCAACTACTCGCTCCCTTCGGGTAGCTGGCTGTGGCCAGGAAGTGACTACAACCTTGTCCCTTGTCAGCTCTACTATATACTTGGAAATTCTTATAGAACATACAAATACTCTTGTAGAAACATTGTCTGCCAACCCTATACATGGTCATCCTTTGCTCACTTCTTAAAAAAAATACTGTGTTTTCAGTTGAAGGTTTATACAGCAGTTTAGATTCCTGTTCAATAATTTCTACACACATTGTTCAGTGACATTGTTTACATTCTTCACAATGTGTGAAAATTCTCAATATTTCTGAGCTAGTTGTTTCATATCCATTAATTTAGACTCTTTGTCCCCTTACATTCTTATCTTTGCTTTAAAGTAATTGTTGACCATTCGGTCTCATATAGATGATTTTTAATTAAGAAGCACAGTACTCATGGGTGATATTCTTTATTTTGTGAACCAGTGTGGTATTTATCTAAAAGGTGACCTCAGAGGCTAGTTTTGGTTCAAGGCTTAAAGATTATCTCAGGGCAGTAGTCTCAGGGAGTCCTCCAGTTTCAACCAGAATAGTAAGTCTGATTTTTTGTTGTTTTACTTTTAAGGAATTTGAGGTTCTGTTGCATGTTTTTTCTCTTGTTTTATCTAGGTCTGTCTTTTGGGATCCTGATCAGAATGGTCAGTAGTGGTAGCTGGGCATCATCTAGTTCTCTTTGCCCATGTTTTGATTGGATTGTTTGTGTTTCTGTTGTTACATTGTAAAAGTGTTTATGTATTTTGCTTATTAGACCCTTATCAGGTATATGGCATAGTGCCTAAGGCATTTGACTGCTAACCAGAAGGCTGGTGGTTCAAACCCATCAGCCACTCCTTGGAAGTGGCAATCAACTTCTGTAGAGATACCTCCTCAGAAACCCAAGGAGGAGTTGCTGTGAGTCAGGATTGACTTGATGGCAATGAGTTTGGTTTTGGTCAGGTATATGGTTCCTAAAGATTTTCTCCCAATCTCTAGTTTGTCTCTTCATTTTGTTGATAAAAGTCTCCTTCAGTCTTTTAAGTAGGTGTGCCTGGACTTTTGGATATTTAGTATGACAGAGACAAAGGTAGGAGCCAGGGTTAACTCCACAATTTATAGTTTCAACAGCTGGAAGGCTTGAACATCATTGACTTAGAAGGAGAGTTGGTAGTAGGAGTAATTTTGATTGGGGATCTCAGAATTTTTTTTTTTTTTTTTGACCATGTCAAGGATCTGAGATGTTGTAGAGAACAAATGTATGGAAGCATTAATGGGCAGTTGGACACACAGGTTTGGAGCTCTGGAAGGGATTCAGGGTGGAGATGTCTCAAAAAAAGTGGTGGACTGGATGGATCTGGAGGTCACGTCTAGTAGTGGGAATCCTGGTCGTGGTGGTAATGCTAATAGTAAGATAGGAAGGGGAAGGTGAGGACCAAGGACTAGGTTTCTTATTGGGGTCATTGAAGAGGTTCATGGCTGTGGGAAGATTGTGGGAGAGAGAAGGTTTTAGCAGGTGACTTATAAATGGAATTGTGCCTCCCAAAAATATATGTTGGAGTCCTGACCCTTGTGCCTGTGGATGTAATGTTCTTTGGGCATAGGGTTTTCTTAATGAGATCTCATCAGGGTGGGTCCTAAACCTGCTGAGTTATAAGGAGCAGCACAGACAGAATAGCACAATGAGGGGAAAATAGTTGCCACGTAGAGATTGCCAAGAAACCAGGGAACACTGGGGTTAGAGAGACTGAGACAGGAATTTTCCCCTGGAACTCACAGAGAGAGAACTTCCTCTTGAGCTGGTGCCCTAATTCAGATTTCAGGCATCTTGAAATGTGAGAAAATAAATTTCTGTTCATTAAAGTCACTTCTTGTGGTATTTCTGTCACAGCAGCACTAGCTAAGACAGTGGTCAAGACTTCGAAGAGAAGGGTGGATATGAGATGCCTGTGGAGACTAAGGGGTAATACAGGCAAGAGGACAGGAGTTCTCAGCTGTAACATAGCACTTTGTAGACGCCATAAGATTTTGTTGTGACCATTGGTGGGGTCTAGGGTGTTTTAGTCGGGCTGGTAGATTAGCTCCAGGGCACAGGTGGTCTCTCATGAATTGGGACCTGGCTTTGAATGTGGTTAGGTGGAGAGAGGAAGGCTGTACCTGGTGTGGGGATAGCAAGTGCAACATAAGTGGGGGAGGCTACAGGGGTTCTGGTTGACTAAGGTTAAAGACAGGAACGAAACAGATAGGAAGGCCTTTGTAACAGGTGAGGGGCTGCCTCTGGCAGTGAAAGTCATTGGAGGTCTGGGGTAGATATGGATCCTGTGTGATTATGCCAAGCACTCCTACGTGGCATATGCACTGTGACATGTGGAAAAGTCAGGAGGTGCCTGTATTGTGAGACAGGGATGGGGAAAAGGCTGTGTGGGAAAGGGTGGGATAGAGTGAGTGCTGTGCTTCTGGAGAGCAGTGTGGGTTGATGATCCCAGTGTCCTGTGTTGGGGACCTTAGGTGAAGGGTAGCCCTACATTTGGTTGTGTCTGTAAAGCACAATCTCAGGTGCTCCAGGCAGATGCCAAGAAGGTGTGCACTTGGCCCTGATGAAGGCCCAGAGCTTAGATTTCATCTGCCTACCCACCTGCCTCTTGGTGCTGTCGGCTGACACAGGGATCAGTGGGACCCTGATGGGAGAGTGGGGGTCACTGGCATCAAGGCCCAGTATCTCCTCTCAGGTGGGAATTAGGGAGGAGGGTGAGTAGGGGATGGATGTGGGGAGAATGAACTTGGGGTCCTAGGAGAGACACTAATCATGGAATTAACTGTTGTCCCCATAATGATAGCGCTGTGTCACCTTTGAGGATGTGGCCATCTACTTCTCCCAGGAGGAGTGGGCGCTCCTTGATGAAGCTCAGAAGCTGCTGTACAGTGATGTGATGCTGGAGAACTTTGCAATCATAGCATCATTGGGTAAGGCACTGAAACCCCTTCCATTGTCCCTAGCTGCTTGTTTTTTTCCCAGAGGTAGTTGTCCTTCTATATCCAGACCATGCCCTCTGCTACCTCCTCTACTTTCCTGGTACATGTGCTGCAGGGACCAATGCTGAGCTGTGTGCATAGCCCTGAGCAGTGCACTCCTCGAGCAGTCCTACCACCTGTCACCCATGAGTGTGCAGGGAAGAATCCCCAATAGATCCCACCTTGGTTATCCTCTCCCTGCCTGGGTGATATATTCATACCCATACCACTTCTGCCCCAGGTTCCACCCTTCCTCTAGTTGGCTCTTCCTCCCCTAATGGTGCCAGGAATTGCAGACACTGTGATGGTCACTACTGATGTGATTCTAGGGCTGTTCTTATAAAAACACCTTCGTGGTATTTTTTTGGGGGGAATATCAGTTGTGGTCTGTTTGCTGACCTGCTCTGGGCCAGTGTTGGCTATTCGCCTGTCCTGTCTTTCCCTTGGGACTTGTTTCATGCAGATCCCATGTAGCTGCAGAACGAGGATTATGGCAGTGTCTCTTTTGCCTACGTGGTGAACATGCAAGATGGTCTCAGAGGAGGCCTGTCCTGCTGAATAGGGCCGTGTGTTCAGATCACACCAGAAACTGTCCCGTGTCCACCACTGTTTTGGTGTAAATGTGTGGGCAAACCTCTTTTTATCTTGTCTTCCCGATACATGACCCTTTACTGCCTTGTCTTGTCATTTCAATTGTGACTTGTGGCCCCTGCCTCCCTCACCTTCATGGCCTGTACCTGTCACCTGTTCCCCTCCATTCTTCTTCTGCAACGTACTGCAACAACAACTGAAACATAATGTGTCAGGAAGTTTGCTCATATATTTCAATAGTCCAACAACAGCTCCTTGAGGGCAGTGGGATTTTCCTGGGGTGAGACACAACCAGCCTTCTGCACACCAACCACATGTCACCAGCAGACAATGTCCTCCTGAAGGCCGATGGCGCAGAAGTAAGATGGAGATTCTACCTCTCCTCCTTGTGCTGTACCCCTTAATTCTGTCCTTCATCTGACGAGGCCTCTCCTGTTGTGTAGTGGTTAGAAGACCAGTACTTCAAGGAGCCCCTTCCTGAACATGCCTCCAGCCCCTCATCCTCAGAACAATCTCACAGAGTCATTTCTTAGCATGACTGATGCGCCTTTGTAATGGGACCTCCCCTCCCACTGATGTCAACATACATTTATCAGTCTTTCTCTGATTTCAGGACATTGGCATGAAGAGGAAGAGAAGGAGGCATCTTCTGAACAGAGTGTTTCTGTAGAAGGGTTGTCACAGGTCAGGATTCCACAGATCGATCCATCCACCCAGAAGACTCACCCCTGGGAGATGTGTGTCCCTGTCTTTAAAGACATTGTGGCTGAGGTTGGAAAGGACCATCTGGACCTGTCGTTCCCTTTCCAGCACCAACTGACTCCCAACAGTGAGAAAGCAGAGAGCAGCACCAAGTGTGGTGAAACTTTTCTCAGTGGAAAAAGTCATTACAAGAGGGGAGAATATGGGAAAGCTTTGAACCACGAACACACACTCTTTCACCATCAGAGCATCTTCACTGGAGAAGGGCTTTGTGAGGGTAGCAATTATGGGAAACCCTTCAGCTGCAACTACACACGTATTCAGCGTCAGCGAATGCGCAATGGGGGAAGGGTGTATCAATGTGGTGAATGTGGGAAAACCTTTACCCACCACTCCTCTGTGAGTCGACACCAGCGAATTCATACTGGAGAAAGGCCGTATGTATGTAGTGAATGTGGGAAAACCTTCACTCACCACTCTTCCCTTAGTAGACACCAGAGGATTCACACTGGTGGAAAGACTTATGAATGCAGCGAATGTGGGAAATCCTTCATCCGAAGCTGCAGCCTCATCCAACACCAGAGACTTCACACAGGAGCAAAGCCCTATGAGTGTGGGGTATGTAGGAAAACATTTAGTGAAAACTCCACTCTCATTCAACACCGCAGAGTTCACACTGGAGAAAGACCTTATGAGTGCAGCGAATGTGGCAAATTCTTTAGCCGTAGTTCTACTCTAAGTCAGCACCGTAGATCTCATACTGGAGACAGGCCTTATAAGTGCAGTGAGTGTGAAAAATCTTTTCGCCAAAGATCTGGGCTCATTCAACACCAGAGGAGTCACATAGGCTCAAAACCTTATGTGTGTGACGAATGTGGGAAACCCTTCAGTCAGAGCTCTGGCCTCATTCAACACCGGAGAGTCCACACAGGAGAAAAGCCTTATGAGTGTGGCAAATGTGGAAAATTCTTCAGACAAAGTTCTGCCCTCCGTCAGCACCAGACAGTTCACACTGGAGAAAGGCCTTATGAGTGTGGTGAATGTGGGAAATGCTTTAGCCACAACTCTGGACTTAATAAACATTGGAGAACTCACACTGGAGTAAACCTGTATATATGTGGCGAGTGTGGGAAATCCTTTAGCCATATCTCCATCCTTACTCAACATGAGAAAGTTCACAAGAACCACACTACTAGTGTGAATATGGGGAATCCTTTTGCTTCATCCTCATTTAATACTGGAGAATATACATTGGGAAAAGGCCTTGTGAATGCAGCGAATGTGGGAAATCCATTAGCCAAAACTCCACCCTTATTCAACACCAGGGAGTTCACAGGAGCAAGGCCATATGAGTATGGTGGAGGTGGGAAATCCTTTAGCCAAAATTCCAGCCTCATTCAATACTGAAGCTTCCATAGCAGAGAGGCCTTGTGAGAGCAGTGAATGTGAAAGCTTTCAGCCCAAGGTCTGACATTGTTCCACATAAAAGTCCACCAACAGGAAAGGCCTTGTACATGCAGGAGACATGCTTGCTGTGCAGATTAACAGCCCTAGAGAGACTTTACAAGGGATCCGTCTGCCTGAAGTTTTACCTCGTGCTTTGAAACCTCCAGAGTGGTGAGAGAGTCCTTGAGTTCTGGGCACGTGTGAGGCTTTCATAAGCTGCATTGGACATGATATGCTTCAGGACCCTCCCAGAGTTATATTGCTGCCAGCTGCTATGACAGAAGTCATCTCAGCATTGGATTCAATGACTGCAATATGCCCAAGCAAGGCTTGTGGCTGTGCTCTCTCCCATTCCCTGGAGGAAACTATGGGCAGTCTGAGACTTTACAGGGTTTCATTCCCTTCTCTAAGGGGTTTCGTACAGCACATATTAGACATGGTTTTGGCAAAGGAGCACTCAGTCTGGGTTCTGCTAGCAGCAGACATAGAAAGTTTATGTTCTTCAAGACATTGTTGGTCTTGTGTGACACTCATGATTTTTTTTTTCTCCCCAGCCTGTAAGTCACCAGTTAGTAAAGATGTTCCTCATATTCCTTTGGGCTGTGCAACAGGAAAGGCCTTATTTAATCCCACATTGATCTTTGGGTGTGAGGCATTGATGGTTCAATGTTAAAATTCCTGGCTTCCATGCAGGAGACCCAAGTTTGATCCTGGCTAACGCATCACATGTGCAGCCACCATCTCTCTGTCAGCTTATTGTACTGTGGTGGCTTGCATGTTGGCTATGATACTGGACAGTTTGCAGCCAAGTTTGTAGACTAAGTCAGATTAGGAAGAAAGTCCTGGTGATCTGCTACTGAAAACCAACCAATGAAGACGCTGTGGATCATAGTGGTCTGATTGCATCCAATCGTGTACGGACATGACTGGGCAGTGTTTTCTTCCGTTGTATATGGGGTACATTAGTTGGAGCAAGTTCAATGACAACTAACAGCAACAACCCTGGAGTTTTCATTCACTCTGTGGAGTCACTTGAAAACAGATTTTGGCTCTTACTGTGAAAGGTGAACAGCTTTTATGGGCCCCACAACTTCTCTTACTCAGCGGAGACTGTAATGTCAGACCAGCACTGCCTGTGGGTGTGGCCTAATATGCATTACTGACTAAGATCTAGAGAAGAATGCAGGGGATTTTTGGCCCTAATTTGTGTCCTAGATGTCTGAATTTTATTTTGTTTTGTTTTGAGACTGGAGGTCATCCTGAGTGTAGGAGAGTTGTAACTCCAGTGTTTCTGGAAACAGCAAGGATTTGTTCCCTTTTCTCCAGGGGATGTTTGTCCTCCTTGTTGAAGGGAAGCATTTCTCTAGGTTCTACAAAAGAGCTTGTTCTCTGAAGCCTAGAATTTGGGGTCTGGGGTATGTGTGTTTCCAGTTTTAAGATTTACAGGGGCCAAGTGGGAACCATAATTGATAGAGAAAAACTAATTGTGGGTAATAGGGAGCTGTGGAGACTGCAGTAAACTCCAGACAGTGTGCTTCTGAACACATACCTACAGGTGTTCCAGTGGCTGGCTGAGCAGGATCTCCAAGGACAGACATTCTTGGAACTCCAGACCCACATGCATCCTGTGGCTGTGGCCATTGCTAGAGAAAACAACTTCAAGATTTTGGAGATTCCTGTGTCATCTCTTTGGGTATTGACTCTGAGTCCATTATGGTGCAGGCAGAAAGATTAAGATGGAGAGAAATCAGACCCTGCAGTCAGGGATCTGGTTCTGTGAGCCAGCCAGGATGCCTGTTGTCTTAATGGAAATGGTCTTCATTGCTCGCCCATATTTCAGCCCATGGAGGCACACCTACCCTTTGCCTGGCATGAGGAAAGAGATGGGACAGCCAACATGTGGTTGCCAAACCTCCTAGCTTTCTGTGAATTGTGGGCCAGTCCAATATATATTATGAAACATTTTTTAAATGATTTACATTGATTGTCACGGTGGCGCAGGGCCAGGCAGTGTTTTAGTCTGTTGTACATAGGGGTTGCTATGAGTTGGAACCATTTTGACAACACCTAACAACAACAACATATCCATAGACAGAATACCACTCAGGAATACAAATGAACTATTCATATAAGTAACAGTGATGAATTTCAAAATTATCACGCAACGTGAAGAATACCAGAGGGAGGGAAAGGAGAGTACACACTGTGATTGCTTTAATGCGAGTTTAGAAAATGCACACTAATTTTTTGTCAAAGAATGGAAATCCTATTTGCCTGGACTAAGGGTCGAGGAGGGCAGGGAGAGATTTTAAAATGGTAGAAGGTAAATACAGGGGCAACGGATGTTTTCATGATCAGAATTATGTCATGATTATGTTATGATTATGGCTTCATGGGTGTATATTTGCCAAAACTTACCAAATTGCATCCTTTAAATATTTATAGCTCACTGCATGTGACTGCATCATTGTATATAGAATGAGAGACAAGAAGAGAGAAGCAGCAGAGAGAGGAGGTTTGAATTCTCCTAAAAGAGATGTAACACAGGCCCAACAGCAGAGTTGGTGGTGATGGCAGAAACCTGCTGCTACTAACTCAGCTGAGAGAGGTGAGCAAAGCTGCGCTACTGTCTGTGAGCCAGGTCAGGTAGCAGTGGAGAAACTGATGGCAGGGAGGCTGAAGGCAGAGAAGCCTGTCTTGAGGGGGGCCCAAGGAGGTCTGTGTGGCCAAGCAGGTTGTGTATGGCAAGGGGAAGGGCCTGTTTGCTTATATAGCCCAGAGAAGAAGAAGTGAACTGTCCTCTGAAGAAGGAGATGTGCTTTCCCCTTAGGGGAAGCCTGCCAGACTGCCTAGATGCTTCTGGATCCTGATCCTGAGTTATACCCTGTTCCTTATTAAATCCTGTAACTGGAAGTATAGCCTGTGAATTCTGTGTGGCCACTGCAATGAATTATTGAACCCATCAGAGAAGTAGAGGGTGCCGTGGGGAGGATGGCTGGTGTCAGAGTTCATGAAAAGGTTGGAGAGTGGAGGCATGTCTGATCTCCACCTCAAAGGGATCAGCTTTGGGCTGATCTTGATCCCCATCATTCCCCTGAAGTTAGGTTCTGATGTTCGTACTACTTGAGTTAAATGCTGCTACTATACTAATGGTTTCAACTTTGAGATGACACAGAAAAGAATGTTTCAAGTGAAGGGAGAATGACCTAGGAATGCTTGGAGCTGGGAAGGCACTTGTGGATCTCAAAGAACTGAAGGAAGTTCAATATGGAGTGGAGCATGAGGTGGAGAGACTGGCTAGAAATGAAGCAAGGAAAAGAGGTAGTATCTTCTGGCAAGTACTGGATTTTACATCAACAATCAGAAGTTTTACTTGTACACCATTATTCATTGCACCACTTTTCACAGTAGTCAAAAGGTGGAAACAACTGAAATGTCCACCAACAGATGAGTGGATAAGTGAAAGGTGGTATATACATACACGTTTATTATGCAGCTGTGAAGAGATGACATCTTGATGCATGACACAACATAGGTGAATCTTGAAACATGCTAAGCGAAGGAAATCACAAAAGGACAAATACTATATGCTCTTACTTATTTGAACTAAACAAATACACAGAAGCCAAAGATTATTAATGGTTACCGGGGGTGGGTGGGAAGGGGGTAGGGGGAGTTTTGTTTGGAGGTTGAGTTTATGATTAACAGTTAAGATTAGTTTATATTAATGGTTGTGAAATATTTTGGGCAACAATAGTGATAATGGTGGCAACCTGAACAATGTAATCAATGTGGTGAAGTGTAGATGTGGAAATTGTTGTGCTCACTGATGTTTTGGTGTGTATATTTGCACCACCATTTTTTTTTAAATTTTTTATTGTGATTTGGGTAAAAGTTTATACAGCAAATTCATTTTCCATACAGCAGTTCGTACACATTTTGTTTCATGACATTGACTGCAATTCCCCACAATGTAATAGCTCTCTTCCCACTTCTTCCCTGTAGTTACCTCTTCCCTGTGTCCTTCTTTCCCGTGCATTCCTGTCCCCTGAACTATCTCACTGTGCAAATACTGCCTTTCTCTTCTCTCATGATTGATCATTCTAAGGAGTGTATCTACTTGATGTAAATGTTCACCCTATATGCCTGTCTGTTGTTTGGCTGGAAGCTATGGGAGTGAGTTCAATTCCAAACCTGAAGGGTAACTGGAGGCCGTAGTCTTGGGAGTCTCACCAGAGTCTGTTAGACCAGTAAACTTGGTCTTTTTTTGTTTGTTTTGTTTTTGTGATTTTGAGTTTTGTTCCATTTTGTGCTCCCACTCTATCCAGGATCTCCTGCCCCAATCCCTTTTTGATGGCGCCATGTTTTTTTTTTTTTTTTTAAATCTTAGGTTATAACAGTGTACAACTCCATTTAGAGAAGAATAGATAAATAGAATGTGGTCTGTTCATACAGTGAAATGACGATAGTATCCATACCATCCACAAAGAAAAATGAAGTCTTGATACGTGTTACTCCATGATGAACATTAAAAACATGTTCAGTGAAACAGATCACTAAAGTACAAATACTGTATGATCCCACTTAGGTGAAATGAGCAAGCACTTCCAAAAGTTTATTAGCGGTTACAAGGGAGGAAGGGGGAAAGGAAGACAATGATTAGGGGACACTGAGATTCTGTTAAGGGGGACGGAAACATTTGGGAATGGAAAAGGTGATAGACAACGTTCTGTGAAGATTGTTGAAGTGGCAGACATTTTCTGTTAGATACACACTTGCCCAAAACAAACCACACTCGCTGCCATCAGAGTTGTTTCCGATTCACAGCAGCCCCTCCTTGGGTTGCCGAGGCGGTATCTCTATGGAAGTAGATTGCCCAGTCTTCCTTCTGAGGAGTGGCTAGTGGATTTAAACTGCCAGCCTTCTGATTAGCAGTCAAATGCCTTAGGCACTATGCCACTAGAGCTCCTTGTGTTGTTATGTGCCGTCGAGTCAGGGTTTCTGAGGTGGTATCACTATGGAAGTAGATTGCCCAACCTTCTTTCCATGGAGTGACTGGTGGGTTTGAACCTCCAGCCTTCTGGTTAGCAGTCAAGTGCCTTAGACACTATGCTACTGGAGCTCCTTAGTGTACATAAATAGAAAATCTACATCATCTAAATAACATTTTAATCCAATATATGTAGGTAACATGGTTCTAATGACTGAAAAGTCAACATGAAACATGTAAATTTCTGGCCTAAAAGTCTAGAGCAACACTGTATCTCCTAACAAGACTGGTTTCCTTTCCCAGTTGATCTGTAAGAAGATTCTAAGCACTTGAGAAAATCTACATATTTTCTTTAGGGGTTTATTTTGTTGGGTTAATACTCTTCCTGGGTTTTACTAAGCCCTCACTGACTTACCCAGAGAGCCCCTTGAGTGGGGGCTTCATTACAGAGGAATATAGACCTAATTAAATTCTTCCAGGATAGAATTATGAACATTAAAATCTTGCTTAATTGAACAGTCCCCCAATTTTTGGTCGACCTATTATATTTTTAAAAAGCGTGTGTTTTTGTGCTTATATTCCAGTAGTGATCCTGAGAAGCCCTCCTCTTTCCCTGTTGCCTCAATTTACATGTTTACAGTGAGAAACTTGTGCGTAATTCTCAAATTGATGGATTTAAATATATGAAAATTAGCAAAACAATGGCACAAATTTCATTTGCATGGAATGGATAAGACCTTTGAAATTTCAGTTTGTGCCTCATGACGTGAGTTTATGAAGATGATCTTTCTGTGAGACCACCTTGAATAGATCTTAGGATGCAGAAAAAGAAACATTATACCAGTACTGCTCACCGGTTGGGTGCAATCACTGACTATACAGTGGATTAGAGCCTAAATCCTAAAGCAGTTGGTTTGTGGAAGGCTGGGGTCTACAGGAGGAGCCCTAACACCATTTTGAGTTCCGACATAAGTTCAGATGCCATTCGAGTTTTTTATGTTACTTCCCCAAAGCTTGCTGACTAACCAACAATATGGCTATGTTTAGACAAGTCTGGGGTAGGCCCAGGGAGTGGTAGTTTGCCCTCAGGAAGATTATGGGTGAAAGTCGATTAACTGGTATGCAGAAAGATGCTCACACTAAGAACTAGGAAATTTGCTTGGGCATTTGCCAAAAGTAGCCATTTCGACTCATGTTATTGATTGAAGTGAAAGGTTGGGGCCCTGGCGCTGTTTTGTAACCATCTTGTGGCTATGAGTCAAGGTTGCAGGATCCTGAATAATACCTTGACCACCTGGTAGAAATTTCGGAACCAGTCATGTAAACTTTTAAATCTGCAATTATGTTCATATTCCAGTCATGGTCCTTTTCCAGCTTCTATAGTCCCGCCTGCAACTGATGGATTGACCTGTCATAAATCATGGTTTTGTGATGATTTCCTTTCTTCTCTGTCGTACATAATGAACACCATGATTGTGAATCGGCAGATTCCGTTGGCATTTGTGATGGGTACATGCTGACAGTTTTCCTCATCTGATGATGTCTTTGTTTTTGTCTTTGTCCTGTTTAAGACTTAATAAAAGAGTCCTGTAGAACATGTTTGAGTCTGAGGTCTTTTTGTCCTAACACAATGGGCAGGAGAGATGTTTTCTGTGGGAAGAAAAGGCAGTACAACCCCTGTCTTCTGTCATTGTCCCCCCTGACCCACACTCAAAGCTGTATCTGGAGTCTCCAGCTTACTCTAGGATCGTATGTGTAATTGGATCTGTGACCTTGGCAGGCTTCTGAAATATTTTTAGCCCCCAGGAGCTTGATGACATTCATAGAGTGTGAAATAATGTCAAAACTTTGAGGACCAGGTATAGACAACACTCCTCAGAAATCTACCTTGGGCACTTTAAGAAGGAGCAAAGAAAGCCGCTAGCCCATCCAAAGAGGCTGGATGAGGCATTTTCATGCCCTTTGCAGTTCCTTTAGGAGCTCTGGAGGTGCTATGGTTAAGGCATTGGCCTGCTAACCAAAAGGTTGACCATTAGAATCCACAAGCCACTCTGCAGAAAGAGGAGGCAGTTGTCTTTAAAAATTTACAGCCTTGTAGACCTTATGGAGCAGTTCTACCCAGTAGTATAGCCTTGAGATGAATCCACTAGATGGTAGTGGGTTTTGCAGGACCGTGGGCCTTCATCCAGGGAGCTCTGGTGGCATTTGACTGCTAATCAGGAGGCTGGTGGTTCAAACCCAGCAACCACCCCTTGGAAGGAAGGTTGGGCAATCTCGCCTGGGAAACCCGAGGAGGGGTTGAGATATCGCCTGGGAAACCCGACGAAGGGTTGCTCTGAGTCCCAATCAACTAAGGCAGTGAGTTTGTTTTCTTTTTGGGGCAGGGAAGGAGGCCTTCATCCCAGGGTCTTAATAAGGCTGCTTCTCGCCTCGGCTTGTGGAGCGGAAACTACATTACCCAGAATTCTGTGCGACTAGCAGCAACTAGAACAAAAGAAAGTCCACAAAATGCATTTCTGCGCGTGCGACTGACGCCTGGGCGGGACTTCCGGGGTTGGCAGTTTTTGAATGCAGGTTCCATAAGGTCAGAAGGAACCTGGGAAGGGTCCAGACGACTCTTGGGCCCGATCCCACGGAGGCGAATCTGAGGCAGGGCGACGGCGCCTTCCGGGTGCCCCCTCACGGACGACCAACGTACGCAGCCCTGGCTCTGCTCAGCGCACAGGCTCCATGGCGGTCGCAGCGCTGAGGGACTCGGCTCAGGTGAGTAGCGTCCTCCAGGCCTCCGCGTCCTCGAGCCCCGAGTGGGCCGCCCGCTCAGGTCCCTGTAGCCCAGGCCCGGGACCTGCACACGGGGGCGCTGGTGGTCGGGACCCCGTTTCCTGAGAACTAGTGTGATGGGGGGTCGGGGAGAGGCCCCGGCAGAGGGACCGGCAGGGAAAGGCTGCAGGTGCGACTGAGCCGGAGCAGCAGGGAAACCCGGGGTCCGTGGTGTGTCCGCCGGAAGCCGAGTTAGGAGTCGCGCCCGATGGCGGGCTGGGGAGCCGTGTCTTCATTCTGAGGACGCTGGGAGCCGTGGAGGGAGGTGGACGAGAGAGGGGGTGATCAAAATGCTCCTCAGAGCAAAAAGCAGCAGGAAGGGGGTGATGATAGGAAGGTTGAGTTCTTTTCCAAGATCACACGGTAGGAACAGCTCTGAGATCCGAGGACCAGAGTTAACGCAGTGACCCCGCGGTCTCCTATCTCCAGGGCTGGACAGAGAGGCCGGAGTCCGTGGTCACCTGCCTGTCACTTCTCCCTCTTCCCGTGGCGGCAGAATTGCTTCTGGACCCAGCACAGATGAGTGGAGCGTGTCCCAGAGCCTCACTGGTCCTGCTGTGAGGTCACCCCTGTGGTCTCGGGCTTTGTGCTGTCCTGGGACTCTTCACCTCACACTCTCCTAGCGTGTGGGCCTGGGGACCCTGAACACATCCTCAGGCCAGTGTTACAGAGCTGTTTAGCGCTGCGCCAGCAAGCCTCCTGCCACAAGGCACTGAGCTGTCTTGCTCCATGGGCCGGGAAGCCCACTGTGCCATTCTCCTGCTGGTCCTGGTTCTGTTGCCTCTCTGCCTCGGTTTCTTGCCATCTCTGCTGCTACAGCTCTCTGTCTCTGTGTATAGGAGGTTCCCAGTGCAGGGACCAAAGGACAGACTCCACTCATCTTCTTGGTGGTAGTAGTCCCCCCTTTCTAGCTCTAGGATGGCTTATTTTAAGCCTAGCAGGGTGGCAAAACTCACCAATCCCCTTGTTAGGGTGCCATGTACCTTATTTACATTATTAGCAAGCTGTCCAGTCCCTTTGACAGAGCCACAAAAACTTTATTTGCGTTGCTTTTGTTGTTATTAGGTGCCATTGAGACGGTTCTCCTGATAGTGATTCTCTGTACAACAGAATGCAACACTGTGTGGTCCTGTGGCATTGTCACAGTCCTTGCTGTGTTTGAGCCTATTTCTGCATCCACTTTGTCAGTCCATCTTGTTGAAGATCTTCCTTTTCTTTGCTGACCCTCTGCTCTACCAAGCATCATGTCCTTCTCCAGAGACTGGTCCCTCCTGATAACATGACCAAAGTACAAAATACAAAGTCTTGCCATTTGTGTAGTCCCATTTGGTAGGAGTTAGAAGACCATGGTGAAAAAGACCTATAAAAATGATCTATCAATTTGTTCAGTAAACTGTCACCCAAATCACAATTAAAATAATAAAAAAGTGATCTATCGTACCACAAAGGGTGTGGTAGGAAGCCCAGTGAGATGGCTACTGGTGTAGTTCAGGTGGCTTGATGGGTATCGTGTCTGTGGAGGTAGAAGGAATAGTTGGGTTCTGGATCTGTCGTAAATAGATCTGTTTGGGTTTTCTGAGGTTGAGTGTGATAGAGGGAAAGGTAGGAGTCAGAGATGACCCCAG